GAGCCTAGGGGCCATTTCTCCCTTATTTTTCATGATTTCATCATCCTAAACACTTGAGTGGGTGTGATTGTGACTTTGTGAGGGAGAGGAGTACCTCATTGCTGACTTCCAGCTATTGTTTTTAGTGAAGGGTGGGCTGAGTTTCCTTGTCTTGAGTTGTTGGAGCCTTTCCTTGGTTGTAGAAGCTCCAAGTGGACATCCTTGTTAAGGAAAAACCAAGTCTTGCTAGCCATTTTCGTTCTTGGCAAAGTCAGAACTGTGTGGAGCCATTGGTGAGCTCCAAGAGCACTCCTTCATCTGTTTTAAGCTTTGGAGTGAGTTACCTAACCTTGATAATGGGTTTTAATGGTTTAAAGATGAAGTCTTGGTATGTTAATGGGTTAAACAAGTAACTAACCTTAACATGAACCTAAAAATGTATAAAGATGCATGTTGGACGTTACATTGGGTTAAAAACCCAACCTTTGGATGATATCTTCGCGAATGCAGAAGCTACTGTCTGTCGCGAAATATTCGGATATGATATCCGGATATGGTATCCGGATATTGATATCCGGATATGGTATCCGGATATGGGGATCTGGATATCTGGATATTGATATTTGGATATGCCCCCAACATATATCCGGATATTCTGGGATTTTGAAGAACAGTAGCTGCATTGTTCATACAGTAGGCTATTGGGGGTTTGTGGACCCTAAAGTGATGAAGTTGAACTTCTGAAATTATCAAACTAAGTCAGAATCAAGTGATTAAGGGCTTATGGCTTTGTGTGAAGCCTTAAGACATAAATCGTAATAAGAAAACATAGTCTTTATGTTTATGCTTATGAGCTATGAGTGTTGATATGCTTGCTGGTCCTAATCAGATTGTGATCTGCTGTGTGTTGGACTTGAGCTGTGTGGACTCTTGGCATTGGATAGTGGGCTTGCAAGGTAAGCTTTCGTGTCCTCGGTTTAGCCATATTGTGGTTCCACCATGTCCCATGGGGATATGGTTATATGCATGCTGTGTTACATGCTTTTGATGTTTTGGAAATGCTGTTGAGCTGTTATATGTTAGTGCCTTTATGATATGCATGTGGTGTTCCACCTTTACGGTAAGCCTAAGTATGTAGTACATACAATATGGTGAGGCTGTGGGTGAGGTGCAAGCGATGTTCCTTGTACTATCTGTAGGTAATAGACGTATTCCTGCATTTCACTGGCCAGTAGAATAGTATTGATACACATGGCATGAATATCTATTGCAATGCATAGTTTTGGAACTTATACTGAGTTACTGCTTTTAGAACCTATATTGCACATGTAAGTGAGCTTGGAATGGAAGATCCTTGAGGACCCCTTGTCTTACTGAGATTTCTGGTTTAGAGATCTCACCCCACGTTTGGGGAATGCTTATTTCAGGTTCAGGTAATGTGGGGGTTGAGACCTCTAGTGGCAGGAGGCCAGAGCTTAGCTGATAGATGTTGCATGTTTATGGTGTTTATGTTGATATGTTGTTATGATTGGATGTTGGATCCTATTTACTGTCTTATGCTTTTAGATTCAGTTTATGGATTTCTCTGTTGAGACTTTGTTGGTTATGCTGTTGATTTGGTGAGCATGGGGATTGTCCATGCCACGTAGACTTGTTTATTGTCTTGTTTAACTTGGAGTTATATTAATGTATCAGAATATTGTCCGGACTATGTGTAGTAGATCCGTGACATAGATACTCACTGTATCTATATTATGAGGTATTCCAGTTAGATGTCTCTTTGCAATTTACATACAGGCGATATTTTATGAAATTGATTAAGTAATCAACTTGGCTAAGTATAATGACGTCATAATTGAAAAGAAAAAGATATTCCGCATTTTTAATTAAGCGCAACTTAATACGATGATATGTTAAAATACCGGGTATACACAGGGTGTTACATCTTGCCTCTTCAATCTTAACGATTTCATGACAATTGTGTTGCATTCTCTCCATCATAATTCTTCACAAATTAAGTTCTGCAACAACTTTTCAAAAATTAAACAAATTGTTAGATACTTTTCTTTCACTTGTTTGTTATCTTCAAAACTAAATAAGATGTGGGACCCAACAACAATGGTGGCAATGACGACGGAGGTGAAAGTGGTTGGGTTGCGGTTATAGTGGTACTGGCAACGACAATAATGGTGATGGTGATGGTGATGGCAACAACAACAGAGGTGATTGAGGAAGATTTGGATTTTTAAAAAGATATTTGGCTCTTGGCTTCTGCTTATTTTATAAAATAAAATTTTTAACTTTGCCAAAAATCAGATTTTTGACTTTCTTTTTTGTGACTTCTCTTTTTTTTTAAAAAAAGCAAACATGCAATTTGTAGTGTGAATAATTTTTGTTTTCTAAAAAAAAAAAGCATCTTTTAGGAAGAAAAAAACAGTCATGCAAACAATTTTGATTGACTATAAATTTAAAATTTTTATATATTATTATCAAATAAAACGTTAGCATATTATTAAAGAAAAGTTAAACTTCTAAGTATTAGGTGCCTATATTAATTGCTAATTTCAAAATAAATATTTAAAGGTTTATCAAATATATATTTAATAGTTAATGAAATACTTCTTAATGAACATGAAATACTTAATAAGCCACATTTTAATACCAAAAATAGATTTAGTTTTGATATTCGATTTTTTAATAATTTAAAAGTATAATTTTAAATTTTTTAGTAAATCATAGATTAAGTTACTGAGTACGTCTTTTTAATTTTATTGAATTTTCAAATGAGTCCCTTTATTTGAAAAGCTTTTAACGGGGTCTCTATACTTCAAAATATTTTTAAATTAATCCTTAACTATAGGAATACATTTGATATAAATACAATTAAATATATCCTTATATTATAATTAAATTTTCAAATAAATCCTTACAATTTAGAAAAGTTAATAATTATTAGTGAATATAAACCTATTTAAAAAATTTAAAATATAAAAACCTATTTAAAAACTTTTAAATATATTAAATTATTTAAAAACTTTTAGGTTACGCAATAATTTAACCCAAATAATATTATAAAAAAATCTTTTATATGTATTGAAAGTGAATCAATATCAAATCTTTGAGTGTTAAATGTAATTAGGATCCTAGAGTTATCATAGAGGTAACGTGGAACTTTAAATAAAGATGTATTTATTATTTAAACTTTCTATATGTATTATATTATTATTTGTTAAAAGTCCTCCTCTTTTGATTGAAACTCAAAATGGTAGTGGTAAAAGCAATATAGTTTGGTGGAGTGGCGGTCACAACTCACAACAATAACGTGGAGTATTTGGGTGATGATTGTATTTCCTTTTTTTTTAAATAAAAATAAATATTCACCTAAAAAAAACTGTTAATCAAATTATATACGATTTGATGTTTTTCATGTTATTTTCTACACATATAAAAATATGTGAGGCCTATGGGGTTATGTAAAAAAGAGAAAAAAAAAATGGATCCTACATATTTTTATATGTGAATAAAAGATAAAATTATATCATACAATATTCATAGACATTAAACCCAATTATATAAAACAAACAAATATTTTATTTACAGCATTTAAAAAATATCTAAGTTAATTTATGTTTTTACTTTAATTAGTATGTATAATTTATTTAACTGTAAAACAAGGTTGTTAAATCACAATAAGTTTTGTGTATCATTTTGCCTATTTTTTGTATCGTGTACCGTGTATCATGGATCGGATCGAATTGTAAGATACAAAAATATAATAAAAAATAATTTAAAAATATACAATATACCTAATATCATAAATTCAAATTTCAGAAAAGATCCAATCAGCAAAATACATAAGTAATTAAAGTGAGGAGAGAAGAGATTTTGAATATTTATTTAATTATTTTATTTATTAATACAAATTTTTCAGATTTAATTTTGAATTTAAATTATAAATCAAATTTTTGTTTTCTTTTTCGTATAGATAATAATTTTTGTATATTTTTTTAATTTAAATCACAAATCAAAATTTTATTTTTATATAAAAATAAAATAAATTATTTTATTTTCATATCGTACAATACACGATACAGTGTCATATCATTTGATATAATCTCTTTTCGATATATATATCCTTTGATACATATCGTTGAACTTGTAAATTATATCGTATGGTGTATCATACGATATTGATAATTATGGTGTTATTAAAGTTTATAATAAAATTATAAAGTTGAAATAAATTACAATAATCAAAAGGTTTTTATTTTAAAAAATTTATCCTAGAAATATTACTTTGCAAATTTTTTTCATGGACGTACATCAGCTGGAGAATGAAATTTGGACATTTTTTCATGTGGTGTAATCATTTTCTTGTACAATAATTAACTACATAACTTTTCCAGGAGCTAATAGCCGTACTAATCACGTGCATTCTTTTTAACTTTTCTTCCCCCGCTAGAATAATCATTTTCTTGTACAATAATTAACCACTTGCCTTTTCCAGGAGCTGATAAACGTACTAATCATGAAGATCAAAATGTCATTTTTTTGACAATTTTTTTTTTTAAATGTCACACAAATAATATTTTTTATTAGACTGTCATGTGGGCGTAATTCGCTACGACCGATAGTGAATTACGTCCGTTAATTATTTTATGACACGTGATATTTTTTCTTAGAAAAAAAAGTTGACGTGTCATAATTCGCTACTAGTGATAGCGGATTTGGTCTGTAATATGACCACGTATCACGAAATTATTGGCTACAAAATTCGCTATCAGTAGTTATGATATGTGATAGTCTGATAAAAAATATTATTCGCTTAATATTTGAATAAAAAATTTAGCAAAAAGTGACAATTTAATCACGGCTCCAATCACGTGCATTCTTTTCAAATTTTCTTCCCCCACTAGAATAATTGCTTTGCAAACCATTTTTGAAAAGTCTACAAATATGTGAAGTCCCCACTGGAGAGCTCCAGAAACACACACACACACACAGACTTCTGTGTTGCTTCCATGGCTTGGAGCTTTCCTGATGTTTTGTGCTGGATTAAAAACCTTTCACCAATATCAGAATGGGAAACAAGTACCATGGCCCTAAATATATGTTCCCCTTCAAGCTCATCCCTACCATTTCTTTATCTTACCATAACCAAAAATCATCATTCCCCGAAACTCTCTTTTGTCATTTCTGCAGTGCTAAATACTCCTGTTCCTCTTTGGACTTCAATACCATTCAAGCCTAGCTCTAAAGCCATAAAGTTAATAGATAAAGAAACCATTTCCAATCTCTTTATTAATTTGAATCAGGCCATCCTTCAATATGGCTCCAACAAGAATATCCCCTCCAACAAATCACATATTCGTTTTATTACCCCAGATCCTGGCCTTTTCAACCTTTCTTTCTTCACTCTCTCGTTCCTAGTTTGCATATACGAAGCTCCTGCAAAGATTCGTTCTAGATGTATTACTATTTTTAAAGACCATTTGACATGTCTTCGGTTAAGACAAGCATCGAGTTTGCTTATGAAACTCTTGGGGTCCAACTTGGCTGAACAGTGGATACGTTCTGTGAACCTTGCAATTACTAATTGGATTCGGGAGCTTGAAGCACTTGACAACACCTTCCGAACACCATGTCCTCTATTTTCTTATGCTGCACCTTTTCCCAAATCTGGGTTATGGAAAGTGGAATTGCGTTGTCCTGTCATAACCATGGATGTTGAGAATTCAAAAAGTCATCCAGCAAATGAGAAACTTCAATTCTCTCTCAACTATCTCCAAGTTGAAAGTGTTCTTCAATTCAATTACAGAGTCTTACTCAAAGAGAAGTGGGTTGAAATCATGGTCAAAATTGACAACATAAGGTAATCAAGAATATTATCCAAGTAAGAGATAATTAACATGTAGGCCAATTAATAAGCATCTTAACAAAAAAAAAGATAGTTATTAATTAGCATATGCCCATGTTGTTATTAGAAATTTAGGGTACAAAGGGTCCTATCATTTGCATAATCTTTGGCTATCAGCTTCAATTAGTTAAAAAATGGCGATCTTTTTTCCTTTTTACTTTTTTTTCGTCTTAATTGCTCTATGATAAATTTGTTGAATTTAAACTTAATTTCTTAATATTTTAGATTTAGATTTGACAATGCAGATTTAACATTCCATATTTATAAAGAGGTTGTTTCCTTGTTATAAAAAAAAAAAAAAGAGGTTGTTTCCTGAATTTGAAATCATAAAGTAACAGTTTTGTCACTGCTCCACTTTGCCTCTGCTTATATATATATATATATATATATATATATGGTAGGATCATTTGACACCGGTATCAAATTTGAAATTTGACACCTCATCTGAGAGCCATTAGATAAAAAAATATTAATGGTGTCGTATGCTTACAAATCAGAGTCAGTTTTTGATCTAATGGCTCTTCAGATGAGGTGTCAAATTTCAAATTTGACACTTCATCAGAGAACCGTTAGATCAAAAAAGATCAACGACTCTGATTTGTAAGCATGTGACACCACTAATCTTTTTTGATAGGCTGTCAGATAAGGTGTCAAATTTTAAATTTGACACCGGTGTCAAAGGATCCTGCCCGTACAAATCAGAGTCGTTGATCCTTTTTGATCTAATGACTCTCAGACGAGGTGTCAAATTTTAAATTTGACAATGGTACGTGTAAAAGTATCATTTGACACCAGTGTCAAATTTAAAGTTTGATACCTTCTCTGAGAGCCATTATATAAAAAAGGATCAACGACTCTGATTTGTAAGCATGTGATACTATTGATTTTTTTTATCAAATGGCTCTCAAATAAGGTGTCAAATTTCAAATTTGACATTGGTGTCAAAGGATCCTATCTCTATATATATATATATATATATATATATAGAATTCGCTTATATTTTAGATTAAAAAAATACAATAAAAAATTGGTGACCTAAATCAAAATGAATCTCATGCATCTTTTTTATTCTACTTCGGTATATTGAAGTGATTTTTTTCCCCTCGGTCATGTCTAGAGCCGGCAAAACGGGCTCGGCTCGGCGGGCCAATCCATCAAATGGGGCGGGGCGGGGCGGGGCGGCTAATTTTTTGGCGGGTTGATGGCGGGTATAGACAGGCCAGTGTAAAATAGGCTCGGGCTAGCAGGCCAACCCGCCAAACAGGGCGGGGCGGACTGAGTTTTCTGTCCACTTTCTAAAACGAGACGGAGCGGGCTGACTCATTTTTTGGCGAATTAATGGCTGCCCCGCCCACTTTGCCACCCATGTTGATGTCTAACTTAATTTCATTTTTCAATTCCTTGTGGATAGGTGTGATGTTACCAAATTGGTGAATGACCCTCTTACGAGGAAACCAGGTGCTGGTGCATCTGAAAAATATTGTGTTTCGGGACTATCATTGCAACTTACACCCACTCTCGAAAACCAAGTGTTGAGCCTATCAGTTGGCAAATTCTCAAAGAAACCAGAAAGAGAAAATGGTGTGGACAAAAGTATAGAAGCTTCATTTGAGCCACCTAATCCCTTGGGACTTAAGGTATCTGCTGGAGAGTCTACAACGGTGAGTATGAAGCCCTGGAAATTTGAGGAATCTGTTTATGGCTTCACTGCAAATTTGAATTGGTTTCTTCATGATAGCACGGATGGCAAAGAAGTTTTGTCATCAAAGCCTTCAAAGTGTGCATTGCTTAACCCAAAGTCATGGTTCAAGAACCGGTACTCGAGTGCTCACCGACCTATCATCACTAGGGAAGGAGGGGTTACTTTTGCTGGTGATGAATATGGACAAAAAATGTGGTGGCAAGTGGACAAAAGTACTATAGGGAAAACAACTGAGTGGGAAATAAGGGGTTGGATATGGTTAACATATTGGCCTAACAAACACGTACCATTGTACAATGAAACTAGGAGGTTGGAGTTTCGAGAAATAGTCCTAGCTATACCTTATTAGTGATGAGAAACATATGATTCCTTAATTCTACCATAGAAATAAAACTATATTCAGATCTTGTTTTTGTTTGAATAGATATTATTTTGTACTGATGATTGTGTGATACAAGAGTATATTAGTAACCATGAGCAATATAAAGCCATTTCATAATAATAATTCTAAGTGTTTCGTACAAGTTTAATTTTGATTGACTATATATTTATAATTTTATATATTATTATCAAATAAAATGCTAGCATATCATTAAAGAAAAATTTAAACTTCTAAGTATTTGGTGCCTATATTGATTTTTAATTTCAAAATAAATATTTAAAGGTTAATTAAATATATTTAATAGTTAAAAAAATACTTTTTAAAGAACCTACGAATAAAATACTTAATAAGCTACCTTTTAATACCAAAAAATAGATTTAGTTGTGATAATTGATTTTTTAATAATTTAATAATAAGTTACTTAGTATGTCTTTTTAATTTTATTAAATTTTCAAATGAGTCCCTTTTTTTTTTTTTTTTTTTTATAACAAATGAGTCCCTTTAGTTGAAAAGCTTTTAACGGGGTCTCTATACTTCAAAATATTTAAATTAATTCTCAACTATAGGAATATATTTGATACAAGATACAATCAAAGCAATCCTTATATTATATTTAAATTTTCAAATATATCCTTATAATTTAAAAAAGTTAATAGTTATTAGTCAATATAAACCTATTTAAATTTAAAAAATATATATAAAAATCTACTAGAGTTATCATAGAGGTAACGTGGAACTTTAAATAAAGATGTATTTAGTATTTAAATTTTCGATAAGTATTATAGTATTCAGTGTTTGATATTTCTTTCTTGGGAAATGCATCTATCATGTTGTAGAAATCACAAATTTTATCATGTTAAGAAAAAGATAAACCAATTCATTGAATAAAGTGTTCCATCATTATTTTTAATACTACCTATATCTTGTCTTTTTCTTAACATGACAACAAAATGGTTCCTAGCTACAACATGAAGGATATAATTTTTTTTTTTGGAAATAAGTGTTAGATATTTCTTTCCATTACAAATAAACATCTAGACACTAAAAAAAGTCGTCCTCTTTTGATTGAAACTCAACATGTTAGTGATAAAAGCAATATAGTTTTTGGAGTGGCCGTCACAACATTTAACGTGGATTATTTGGGTGATGACGGTCTTTCCTTAATTTTTAAATAAAAACAAATATTTACCCAAAAAAAAACTCGTAATCAAATTATATAAAACAAGCAAATATTTTATTTACAGCATTTAAAAAAGATCGAACTTCATTTATGTTTTTACTTTAATTAGTATGTATAATTTATTTAAATGTATAACTTATTTTATTATAGTGCTGTTAAAGTTTATAATAAAATTATATAGTTGATATAATGACCTTAACTGGTAAATCTTAATTAGAGATTTAATTTAAGGATTTAAATGCCATAATTAGATTCAGTGAGTGATTCCGAGTATTTTGACTGTAATCATGACTATGTTATGAACAATGCGTTCTGTCGGAGAATTCGCAGTATCGTGAATTAACCGGTAGAGCTTAAATAAGCAAAATGATTTTAGAGACATAATTTGACAATTCTGACGACAAAAATGAGTTCAAAATGAAAAATTGTATAGTCTGGCACATTCCGTGAAAATCTCGTGAATAATGTTTCTACCGGGTATTTTGTACTGCTGTTTAAGCAACCGGTAGAGTCCAGAAGCAAATAATTGATGAAATAAGATTAAGAAAGTCCAAAATATGCCAAGCAAGTCAATATAGGCCCAAGAAAATGATAAGTTTATAAGTTTTAAGTTTCATAAGTAAATGAAGTACAATTAGTGATTCACAGTGCATTTCGTCAATAACGGTGCAAAAACTATACTGTGAATTATAAATATTGTTCCTTAGGAAATAAAAATTAATGTAAATGATTTTAGAAAAATAAAAATATGTTTGTAGCGTTGAGTTAGTTCCGGGTCAGTTTAAGTGAAAATACGCGAAAGAAAAACATCTGTTAAAAAGTCACATGTGACTATAAAGCTTTGTCATTCAAGTGAATCACTATTCACACAACTAAAACTCATTTCTCTCTCTTGCAAACCGTGGAGTTCATCATGGAAGGGGGGGTTTAGGGCTTTATTTCTTTTTTTGATTTCTTCTTGAATATGCCACCAAATCCAAAGACCCACCACATGAAATTGATTGGAAACCACTCAATGAATCCATTCCACCTATCCATTTGAGCTATAGTTGAGTGTGTGAAGAGTTATTCCTCCTCTCATTTTTGAGTTACTATTCATTGGAGGAGAAAAATGAGTTTTTGATGGAGCTTGGCTTGGATGTTGCTCTCTAGGCTTTGTACAAGTGTTTAGAGGTAAGAAACCTCTATTTCCATGATATTATTTTGATGATTTAAGTCATGAAATCTATGAGCATGTTGTGAGTGGGGAATAATTGATGTTAGAATGTGAAATTTATGATGGATTATTGTTGCTTAGGAAGTTATAGTGTTGAGTAAGCATCCACATGTGATATAAAAATTGAAAAGCCCTATTGCATTTTCCTCCTAGGTTTCGGCCTTCATGGAGTGAGTAGGGGTTATTGTGAAAAAATTATATTATGTATTGTGAAGGTATAATGTGTTGGAAAAGAGTGAAAATGGATGAGTTAGTAAGAATGCCTAAGTAAAAAGGACTTGGTGTCTAAACTCAAAATAGGAATCTAGTGGAAGCATTCCTATTGTAAAAGAGAAGGATCTTTGGAAATTCCCCTTATAGGATTCGACCTATAGGGTATTTAGGGATATATTTTGTACATTTTATTTTAAGTGAAATGTGTTGTAATAAATTGTATAAAAGTGATGAGTTTTGAAGAAAAATAGCATGATTTATGTTGGAAATTCTTAAGGGAATACTTGGTTAAATTAAAGAACACCAACGATTATAAAGAGGTCTAGACTTGTGTATTGGCATAGCATTGGCAAAAACATAAAGAAACGAAAAGAAGCGATAAAATGTATGCCTTATGTGAAAGCTAGGCATGATGGCATTTTATTAATTGGTATTTGTGGATTCTTGCTCTAGGTGTACCTAGGGACTAAAAAGGAATCAGAATCTCTTGAAGATATATAAGTAACTTGAGCCACAAGTAAGCTGATTGTTAAAGCTTCAAGAGGTAAGCTCTATGTTTAAGGAGTCTTTTTCTACTTGAGTGCTCCACCATAGTTAGTGAACTGTGGTTGGATTGTATGACTGTTTTGATGCTTTGTATAGATGCATTCATATAGAGCTATTTGATAACATGATATGTTTTGTTCTGATATGACTTCTGTAAGATGATTTCTGTAATAATCTCTGGCCATTGATTGTATAGTACCCTGATGTCCGCTTTGGGGTCCTCCCTCGGGACTAATGGTGTACGCCTCTGATATGTCTAGTTCCGCTATGGGGTCCTCCCTCGGGAACACATGCGTTGATTTCCACTTGGGGTCCTCCCTTGGGAATGACAGCGCACATCTCTGATATGATATGGATATATGCTTTGTTCTGTTACGATATCTGTTATATGTTGTATTCATATATTCTGTATTTGACTTTCATGCAGGAGTGAGCCAGGGGTATGGAGAATTCTCTATAAACCTGAAGCTTATTGAGATTTGTAATCTCACCCCTCGTTGGGGCCATATTTTCAGGTGCCCAGATTCCCGGTGAGACCTCTCTAGTCAGGGACATGACCCGTGGCTGAGGATTTGGACGGATTGGATTTTAAGTAGCTGTAGGCTACTTCTATTTTGGAGTGCATTTATGTATTACGTATTTTCTTAATTGATGGATCATGATGTTAGATCATTTACTTGTATATGGCCTGTATATGTCTTGTATATGTCTTCAGTATGATGCATGTACATTTTTGTATTCAGGCATGTTGATATGACTATGTAGTATTCAGTTATGGTTATGTATTGGATTTCATGCTGTTAGATTAGTGGCACGGAGCCAAGTTCTGCATGCGCCCATAGATGGGTATCTGATTATATCTGCATGACTAGTACTTCTGGATTGATGTGCTATATAAACTATTATCAGGAAATGCTTTTGAGTGGGATTGGAAAATCCCCAGTTGTCCGATTTATAGAGGAAACTCTGCCCGATTTTCGTTTACGCCGAGGAAACTCGGCTCGAGACGAGGATGTTACATTTATGGTATCAGAGCAGGGCCTCTCTTCCAGTACGGTGTGGTTCGAGGACGAACCAGGCGGAAGCTGGTGGGCATGTAACATCCCAAGAGCTGGCAAGGGCAGGGAGTGATCGCCGGTGCAAAAGGGCACGGACAATGAGCGGCTCATGCCAAATCTTATAGCTTGGGAGTTCATGAATGAATCGAATCAACACCCGAAAGAGAGGGATTCCAGAGACTGTGTTGGTATGGGACGGTACAGTTAGGAATGACTTATAAGAATTAATTGGTACTACCTATACTAACAAGATGCATCTACTTTTCGGTAGCCCGGATCAGAAGAACTCCACAGTTAAGCGTGCTTGACTTGGAGCAATTCTGGGATAGGTGACCTCCTGGGAAGTTTTATCGGGAAGTGTGCGAGTGACGGCAAAGCACACTGAAAAGTCTCGTGTTAGTGTGTGAGACAGTCATTGATTCTTGCAAGTTGTCACGCGTTACAGTTGAAATAAAGGGAAATAATTTTCTTATGTTATAAGAAAAGTGTTATCTCATATAATAAAAATAAAATTATAAGTGGGACCTACAGGTAAGAGAAAAGACAAAAAAATAGAGGTGGGGTCCACTCTTTTTTTGTATGTGTAAGAAATTTGTTTCTCTTGTGTAATATAAGATAAATATAACTCCGAAATAAATTATAATAATTTAATAATTTTTATTTTAAAAAACTTTATCTTAGAAATATTAGTTTGTTTTCAAGAAGAAGCTAAAAAATAAAGTAACTATTTGTACTTTGTAGGTTTGTCTTAATTCTTACAAGCATGGCTATTAGACCCGATTAATTCGGCCGGATCGACTCGAAATTTGACGAATTGATTTTCGGATTGGTTTGAGTCAATTATTGGACCGGTCACGTATGAAATCCGTTCAGAACCGGTCAATTGATTGGGTTATGAAAATTGGAGGGTCATGCATTATTATTAAAAAAAAATAACATGAAACCAACTAAAAAAAAGTGAAACTCCTTTGAAAAACTTTTGTAGTTTTGTTTGTTTTTAATATACTCTTTACAAATACCTCAAATCTCACTTTCAATTACTGAAGTAATTTGCGAAACAGTAAATTAAGAGAACGTGACATATTAATTTTTTACAAATCTATATTTATGGGAAGAGTTATTGCCTTATAATTATTAAACATGGTTAGTTGAAGATAATTGATAAAAGAATTATATAATTACTTGATATTTGAATTTTCTTTTTTCTTTATTTATTTCTTTTACAATATATTATATGAGTTATGATATATGACTTTTTTTTATCCTTCCAAAAATTATATATACTTACAGTTCAATATTACAATTTTTTACACGTATTTAATATTTTATAGATTTTTATATATAAAATGTAGATTTTTATATATTAAACCAAATCATGCTGATAACCCATCAATTAATCCAATGTTTAGTACCTTGGCCTCGCTCTGATAACATTGCTTAGAAGCACCTGTAACCCGAGGAGAGGGTCCACGTAAGACGAGGCAGGCTCTAGTTACCACTTACCACCCGGTGCACGTTAGCGAGAAGAAGCTCCGAAATTGGAACGGAGAAAATAATGAGAGTGGGCCGAGTGGCGGAAATCTCAAGAGAGACATTAACAACTACTTTATCGATTTTATTCTCTTCCTTCCCCGTTTCGCTTAACTGAACTTCACTTCGCTCTTTCTCTTTTCTCTATAATAAGTTGCTATCGTCCATTGTTTTTCTCTCCCATTCCAATTCCATTCTCTGCATATCCCCCCCTCTCTCTCTCTCTTCCATGGAGTCCTCCGCTGCCATTCGATCCTTTCACTGTATCGCTCTCTCTCTCTCTCTCTCTCTCTCCTCATTTGTATTTGCATATTTGTTATGAATGTGTTTCGCAGAGTGCGATCTATGCTTGTGTGTTTGCGATTTCTTATCTTGCTTTTTTTTTTTTTGATGTTGCTTGAATTGATGTGATGTTGAGGGAAACTAAAACTGAAAATGATTAAGAGTATATGAACTTTTTTTTTTTTTTAGGAATTTTTCTGCTTACTAATTTAATGGAATCAAGGTGTAACAGTTGGATTAGGTTGTGATATTTGAGCTAGGAGGATAATTTAACTGCGAAGAAGCTTGCTAATTTAGCTTTCTGACAATGTTAGAAACATTTTACGTTTATGCTCTTTTCGCATTGTGTGCTTGTTTGAAATCTATTCAGCTATGAAACTTTATAATCATTTTAAATTAAATGCTGAACTTAGGATGAAGTTCTTGTTCTGCTGATTTATTCTTTTATGAGAAATCAAAACAGACTTACTGCCGAAGATTGTAGATAATTTTTTTTTTTTTTTTTTTTTTTCGGGATTTGCACAAACCTTTGAAATTTTCATCCCGAAGTGACTCGTTGTCTTAGCTCGCTTGACTGGTTCCTGATTGCTGTAATATATGAAGCTTAATTTAACCTTCTCTATTTGAGAAAGGAGTAAAAAGAGTTGAAGAGCAACTCTGAAGAAGTGAATAGAGAGTCGGGGCAGCAGTAGGAAAGTTATTTTATGCTCATGCTTAGTATCAATTATTTACCAGAATCACAAGCATTAATATTTTTTCATAAAGACACTTGAATGCACTCCTTGATGTTTCAACAAATAACCGAAGGATGCTCTCCAGAGACCAAAGAGCATGTGATTGACATCCTGATGGGTCATGTGGGACACAAGATGACTAGGACCTGTGTTTTTATTTTTTATTTTTAAAAAATTTTGCGGCATCTATATGCTGTTTACTATTTACTATTCGATTGGAAAATGTTTGTCAGAAATCATCGTGTTCAGTTGGTGAGTTATTCTTTTGTTATTTTACTTTTGTTAGATAGAAAAATGAGCTCCAATCTTTTTCCCTGACTTATTGAAATAGGTTTAATTCTTTACTTAAAGATTCTTAATGTTTTCTAGGATATCTTAAAGGATCAATTTAGTTCCAAGAATAACTTCGTTGCTTCTCTTTTCATTGTAGCATCTTAACTGGCCAGCTGCCTAATCTTATATCAATTGGTTTGGCTACAGAAGATTGTGTTGCCTTGAGTCATGTTCACGTATGCAATTTGACAAAATTTATTGCAACTCTAACACAATGATTGTGTTTATGCCATTGGGGTGTTTTTGAGGGTTTATTTAGTTTTAAGTTACACTGATATCATTTGTATGTGTTTGTCTCCCTGTCCTAACATACATTAGACACACATGTACATGTATGTATGTATGAATGCCTCGTTCTTGCATTAATATTGTCTCTTTATACCTATACCAAGTCCCTATTACCTGGATGGCCATTATAAAAAGTAAAAATCCTTGCGACAGATGCTTAATACTTACACTTGGATTTCAGATCCCATAGGCACTATGTCCCAAATGCGATCCTCGCTTGAGAAGCCAACTGTATTTCCCAGCCATAATGTCAGATGGCACTCTAAAACTAGGCTTTTCATCCAGTGCTTAACAAATGATGAGAAGCATATCAATTCTCTCACCAAGGGGAAGAAAACACTAGTGTCATGTGCAAAAACATCCGAAGCTATCAACACGACCAAGTCTGATGGTGGGTTATATTCATTATGAAATGAATCACATACTTATGTTTTTGTTCTTTTTGGCTGTGAGTTGAATGAGATAAGTCTTATTCATTATTAGTATAATTGTCTCAGAGATACATTAATCAGTTGCAAAAAATTTGGCCAGTGGGTTTATATTTTTATATATGTGATCCAAGATAATGTTCCTGAACTCTTCTATACTTATTAGAAAGAAAAAAGACAGAAGAGAGTATTTTTCCCTTACATACAAAAATTGTCTCATTTTTCTTTTAGGTATTTTGTTATTTACATGTAAACATAATATTAGGAAGTCATTCTATTTCTGTTGCTGATCAGTATTATGGTAAATCAGAAAGTCTGTTTGAAGGTTACATACTATTACTTTGTTATACTTGGTTATTAGAATATTTCTTTTTTAATAAATTTTACTTAACATTCTTATTTCTTGACCTGTCAATTATTTATGATGTTGCAGATTCTTTGGATAGTACGCCACAAGACTCATTGGAGAAAAAACCTTTGCAAACTGCTACTTTTCCTAATGGATTTGAGGTCTATAGCTATCCTTGCCTTTTATTTTCCTGCAATTTCATTTTTATTATTATTGAAATACTTTACGTAAGCTATTAGAAGAAACAAACACAAGGTATTTTTTACTTATGATTGCTGGCTTTTGTACAAGATGGCACAATTGCATCCTTTAACAGCCATGTTTCAATGTAAATCTGATAAATCCGTACTTATGTCTGGTTTGCTTATGATCAGGCTTTGATATTAGAGGTTTGTGATGAGACTGAAATAGCTGAGCTGAAAGTAAAGGTGATCCTCTTGTCACTTATTTACTTCACTTATTTACTGCTTCTAATTTTGAAGTACAGTACTTTAAATATAATAACAAGGAAGAAAAGAAACTTCACAGTGTATGCTTTAAAGCAAGAGGCTATAGAGATGATATGGTTTGAACAATTCATGCACACACATTAGTGAACTGGATTTGTCCATAGCCCTGTAATATGCTGTGTTTTGAAACATAAGTCAAAGCAATGAATTTGATTTACTCAAGATATGTCATAGGCTTGTAGAAAATGAGGTAATGGTAATGGTGCTTTTGTCAATATTGTAGCACATTGCATTTCAAGCTTGAGATTGTGGTGCTTTTGTGCCTAATGTCCTATCTGAATATATCAATATTTTTTCTTGTAATTCAAATTTGATCGTAAACAACTGTATCAGATTGGTTTTTTATACAACATTGTACCTAAAAACTTTGATCTAACTTCATATCTTTAATTTCTCTCTGATTCATTGAAAGAAACATGTTTTTTAGCTGGATGACCTTGTACATGGCCTTATTTTACTTATACTATAGGTTGGAGAGTTTGAGATGCATCTTAAGCGAAACATTGGAGCAACAAAAGCTCCTTTGTCTAATATTTCTCCAACTACACCTCCACCTATTCCAAGTAAACCTATGGATGAATCAGCACCTGGTACCCCGCAACCGTCGCCACCAAAATCATCTCCGGCAAAGACCAACCCATTTGCAAATGTCTCCATAGGGAAGTCTTCAAAGTTGGCAGCATTGGAGGCTTCTGGCACCAATACCTATGTCTTAGTATCATCTCCTACGGTATGCCATCTATCAATATATGCATAAGCTCTGCTTTCGCCAATTATCTCTGACTTGAGCTATGTATAGTTTGCAATCACTTTTCTTTCTTTCTCTCTTGTCAGGTTGGCTTGTTCCGAAGAGGTAGAACAGTGAAAGGGAAGAAGCAACCTCCTATCTGTAAAGAGGTACATGTGACATGCTTGTCATTATCTATCCTCTGCTGTGGTGTTTTTAAGTCATCAGCTTGTTATGACCTAGATCACATAATTCACTTGATACTCCCTCCTCATGGCATCTCATTGTGAACTACACCATTGGATTTAGGTGCATATGTGCTTGTCACGCACTAAGATTCTGAGGTACACAAACTAAATGTTTCTGGTTTAGGGTTCAACCAGTAGCATATGAGCTGCCCCATGCAATACTGCAGACGTTTGGATCCTGTGCGTCAGTCTGCTTGCTTGTCAGCCTACTCTCCTGATGGGAACTTGCAAACTTGCATCTGTTGACTTTTTAATAAACTTGACCAATACAACTGGATTACAGTATAAAAAAGAAAAAAGTGGTAATAACTAATATTCTAATAATGAAAATCTCAGCTTATACAGTAAAAATAGATGCTTTTCTATTACTATATTACTTTATGGATATTTTCCATTTAAAAATGTTAGATTATTATTTGACATTAACAAAACAATATTGAGTCACTAATACATTTAAAACAATGTGAATATAATTAAAAAAGTTTAAATAGTTGGTTCTATTATTATAAGAATAGATTATATGAACTCACCAGAGGCACAGCTGTGCTGTAAAACTTTTTGTAGTTTTACATTTTGGCCAATTAACTTCCAGATCTGGGATTACTCTAAAATCCAAACTGTATGGTCCAGGTTATGACCACAAAATGGATGGTAAACTTTCTTTTCGGTTGAACTTTACATATAATTTCTCAGTTTTGTGCTGATTTTCCATCTCTATTGATATTTGGTTCTGCTACAATAACTAAAGCAGTTAATTGTAATATTAGTTTCTAAATGTTTGCGCACAATTGGGACATTAAATCAATACATTCTAACATGTAGGAATACTTTGTAAACTTATCTGTGAAAGATACAAATTAGATATTCTTTGGTATTCAAACATGGGTTGATCTATATTAGTATATTTCTATACTGGGGCAATTATTGATATCTTTTCTACAGTTGCTGGGTCAAGTTGATTCAGGACCTCATTCTCATTGTACTGGCTACAAATGCTTTTCAATATCTTCATTTTCTGATTCAATTCTAGCATTTCTGCATACACTCAATCGACTGTTTTCAATTTTATCATCTATAGGGTGATGTAATCAAAGAAGGTCAAGTCATAGGGTATTTGGATCAGTTTGGCACTGGACTTCCTGTTAAGGTGATCCGTCTCAGTTTCTTTAATTGTGATTCCTTCCTAAATATCTACCTCTCCTGACTGCTTTTATTTTTGAAATTTTGCAGACGGATGTGGCTGGAGAAGTGTTGAAGCTACTTGTTGAGGATGGAGGTATAATGTCTATGACCTTCTGTTACAAAATGTCTGGGTTTATTGATTTGGGACTCAAGTAATACTAGGCTTCTGGAAGAACAAAAAAGTAGTAGAAGTGCTATTCAATATTCATCCGAATTTGAAATAGGGAAAGTGGTAGTGTGGCTCCAGAGTAATAAAATATTGCAAAAATGATATGGCAGCTCATAAGAATTCTAGATTCTGTAAGTCTCTATTTTAAGTATTTTGAAACTTAGTTGCATGGAAGAAGCAAATTAAAAGTAAACATTGAAATTGGAGAAAAATTACTTGTAGTTAGTCCAGTGCATCCTGGTTTTTAAGAATGAATTTTACCATCTTGGGTGCCACTTAGCTCTCCAGCAGTTTCCCACTAGTATGTATGATATTCTATCATCTTGGATGCCTAATTGCTTATGTTTGACATGCTGTTATCATATTAAACATGGGCACGTTGGACGTCTAAGAATCTAGGATCCACACTCTCTCATAGTCCACGCACTGTATGAAAGATTTTTAATTATCTTACCAAACAATGAGGATCTCAAATTCCGTCATGTCAAAGATACTCAGATGTCTTCCATACTAGTGTGAAAGTATGTCTTGCATGCTTTTTGATGTGCATTTGCTGCATGTTGGAAAGTCACAGGATATTTATGATATATTAATTTAGTTCAATGTAATTTACAGTATATTGCTAGTTGTGCTATAAGTTTTCATGGGTTTTCTAATTATTGTTGGCTATTGACTAAATTTAAACACATTGTCTAGCTCTTAAAGGTCTTGATTTAATATCTGCCACTATCTTGTAAGCAATTTATTGTGTATACTGTCCTGTTGCAATATTTAATGCTCACTATCAATGCTCAGGCAATATTATCAATATATAAATATATATTGGTTCTGTTACTCCGACTGATGATTTTGGGGAGGGTGGACATCCATAGTTGTGATGAATATCTTACTATTTTTCGTTGTTTATAATTTACAGAGCCTGTTGGTTATGGAGATCCTCTTATTGCTGTCTTGCCGTCATTCCATGACATCAAATGAGCTAGCCTTCTCCATTTGTTGATGCAACTATGTGGCATTTATTTATTGGGAGGCTATTGGTATATTGGCAAAAATTTTAATAGATTGAGAAATAATTATTTGTCCCTACATATTGGGGAAAGGAGTTCCTTTTTCGAAGACCATACTTTGTATACCAATTGCGCGTAAATTGTTTCGTCTAGCTACTCCAAGTCCACCTTATTGTGTACCTTAGTGAATGAACGCAAACCAAAGGCTTTACATACACTATACACTAGGAACCAACTGATCTTAGTTGCTGGAGTTTGATTGCTTGCTTTTTATTTTCGCAAAAAGAATGTGTAGAATTTGTTTGAGATATTTTACCCAGATTAGAAGTGCATTGCTATAATATACGGAAATGTTGTCTTCCCAATAATCTCTGATCTAATACTTCATGACCAGATTAGTAGCACAATCTGTTAGTTTCCAATCTAAGGCCAATCACATTCCTAAGTGCTAAGGGCAAAGGCTGAACCACATGAGGTGAGAAATCATTCTCGTATCTAACGAGAAGGGCTTGTGAAATACGTCCCAGACCTGCGTCTTTTGAGAATAGGCATTTAGAATAGGCATCAAGGGGTTGCCTTCGCCACCATCCATAGGAGCAAAACGGGGCATCCTGCCCACGCTTTACCCTACAGTAGACAATTCGCGTTATTAGTAATAGCAAACGGGAAGAGAGAAAACCAGGCTAATGCAAACTATTTCATACGATAGTTGAAGCCCCGATTTCTAAAACTGAATAAATGCAAAAAAAAAGGTCATTCTCGGGCAAGTCCTCAATTTTTGTTTTTTAATGATGTCTAAATATGTGTTTAGCATGGGCAATTGAGATGGTTGTTCAGGAAGATGCCCAGTATCGAAGTCGTAACAATGACTTTTCAGCATACCAACTGGAATGGCCGAAGAAAAACAACTATATATACTAACTGGACATCATGTGAAATTATTAACTACTCATGTCGACGCAGGTAAGATTGGGTGAAGCATACTGTGTATCCTACATGGTAAGGGTACGGCAGATAAGTATATCACCGTCAGACTATGAAGCACCGATACTCCTTAAATTTTTTTTCCAACGTATCGGATACGCGTATCGGAAACGTATCGGACACATATTGTATGGTAATCAACATCCTGTATCATCAAGAACGTATCGCAAACAACATATCGGTGCTTCATTGCTTTCAGATTAGTTGATTGCCAGCCACCAGCCTCCTTGTAAAATTCCATGGTCAATAATTTTTTTTTTATACTATTTAAAGAAAGAAAGAAAGAAATAGTGAAACAGACAATTTCCCTCACGGAAGAATCAAAGCTATATGAAGACCATGGAGACATTGCATACGATATTGAATACCGTGACTCAAACAACAAATGACGAAAATTGCATTTCCAATTATAATATCAGCAAAATATCTGCTAAAAAGTGTTCATGGATTCGCCCATGATCCATGGACTAATAGGGTCAAATACCTCAAGTGTTGAGGTCATCCTATTGAGATGTTTCCTTCATTAATACTGACATGCACCGTATTTATTGATGCAAGGCTTAATGTCTGCCCAACCACCATAACTTTGAAGAAGATTATGGAAGAAGGTAGAAGATTCCTCTCACCTTATATATACACTTGAAGACCATTGTAATTTTGGTTAGAGATTTTTGAAGCCTAAAGCTTAGAATTTGAGGGTATCTCTAAAGAGAAGTTTGAGTGCGATTTCTTTAGAGAAATTTGAAAATACCACTATATTTGGTGAAGTTTGAGTATACCTTTAGTGTAATTAGGAAAACTTGACTCTTGTAATTTTTTTGAACTAATATTCCGTAATTTTTACTCTGCCTTAGGAAGAGGTTTTTCACGTTAAAAAGTTTGTGTGTTCTTCTTTGTCTCTCTCTCACTTCTGCATTTTTTATTTTCTACCGCGTGTTGGCCAACTTGGTGACTAGCTCCGAACTCGACTTCGACTTCTTTGAGGGAGGGACGTCCCAACACATCCGTGCTCCAATCTGACCTCCAATGTCATCTCTGGGGAAAACATTTTGTGTCTAAATCTTTCGCATTCATTTAGCAAAGCAAAACAATATACCATGGGAGTGAATATTCAGCTGTCCCGGCACATGTGAGCCGGGAAGAGAGAGTGAGAGAAAATTAGAGGAGAGAAAAAAGAGGAGAGAGAGAGATAGAAAGGGGACCATGGAATATTTTTTAATACTATGGGCGCTCAATTTCGCTGAGAATTTCCAAATTACAAAGCGAATAAGCATCACCCTCATTGCCACTTAACATCTAATGCTGTTCCTGTGAACTTTAAATCATGTCTTGTTAGAAAAAGCCTGAGGCCCTCGTGAAATATCATTGGATGCTTTGACCTAATGTAACCAATTGCTATGACTTTCCAAACGTAGACCGTTATAGCTACGACTGTATCGGGTCGGCCTACGTCAGACCAGATCTGATCTATTATATTTTTTAAAATAGGTTAGGTTTGGACCTTGAAAAAATTTGTTTAATAAAATAGTTGTAGGCTCACTTTCTCAAGCCTGGCTTATAAGCCTATTGGCCGGCCTATATTATACTATTTATTTTAAATAACATAAAATAGAATAAGTATGCCTTGAAAAAAAAAAGATATAAATTTAATCAATTGCAATTATTTAAAACTTAATTTTATTCGATTATATTTTAATAGAAATCTGACTTTATTTCTTATGTAGGAAGAACCAATATATCAGCATGTTAGATTGTGTATATGAATATATTAAAAGGTTTTTGGGAGAGGTTATACTTACTACAAGCATCATGTTATATTTGTTGGATTCATGTATTTATTTTAATTTACATAGTATGGATTTTTTTATTGGATCTGATGAAATATATATTATTTTGTTTGAGCATTTTGCTTTTGAAAATGACTTAAATGCAGATTGTATGAGTTTTGTTGTGATTCATGATTCTGTTTGGACGTTGAAATTATGATTTTTAGTTTAGCAACAGAATTTGAGTATTTTGTAAAGTTGATCATGATTATGCTTGAAGTTAAAAATTAACAGGCTAACGGGCTAGGTCAGGCCATTTGTTTTTTTATAAACGGGTCAAGGCAGGCTAACAGTTAGACTCATACTAGGCCAAATAAATTTTTTTTGGCCTAGGCTTGAACTTTTCGGAGCAAAATTAGGTCCAGCTCAACCCACTTTCACCTCTAGTTATAGCATCATTTTTTGAGAGATTGCTATTATTATTATTTTTTATTTTTTTTATAACAGATTGCTATTATTTTACCTATGCATTTAGTATCTCTATCTTATTTTTGAATAATTATATATGCTCTCAATGAATCATCCCATAATTCCCTAACTACCTAAAAAAAATTATTATTACTTTTTTTGTTGAGTTCTCAGTATATTGAATGCTTTTAATTTTTTAATTTAATGCTTCATGTATTAAATAAAATCTCATAAGACGATATAGTCCTCTTTACAGTGTTGTGTATTACGAGTTTAAATTTTTTGCAAAATGTTATCAATTCACAGGGACTACTTTACCAAATACCATACGGAAGAATTTTTGAAGAATAGTACCGGAATGAAGATAAACTATATTATTTTTTTCTTAGCAACTTTGGATGAACGGGGATTATATGACAATCTATAATCTTATTTTCCTGGTTTTCCTTTAGGTGGTGTTTGGTTGGAGGGGTTTTTAAATTACCCCATGCAAATGAATCAAGGATTCTGGGAAGCATGCGTTTGGTTGAAGGAGATATGGCTCAATGCCCAGGGAACCACGATGCATATCATTTCACGTTTTGCCCCATTTAGCTATGCATCCGCACTGTTTGAAAAGCAAAGGAGGGGGTGGTTTTTTTTATGAAACCCGGCTATGTCACATGGGCCCACAATAAATCATCCCAAATATACCCTCTGATATTATCTTCAATTGTGTAATTACCAGCGATGAGAAGTACTTACGCACTGTTGAACGTTTGCTTGTAGCTTCATTGTGTGGGTTGCAGAGCACTTGGCCACTCGCGAACCAAACTGAAGTGACCTTGCATGGTGGTGGACAACTGAGTCATCCTTTGTCTGGTTGAAGGTAAGCAAATGTTAGCCTCAAGTTTTCATGTTTGGTCACAAAGAACTATGGACCTGACCCTGGGTTATCTTTGTTTATGTTGAGCTGACAATATGCATGGATGAATGAACCACTCAATCGGACCTGAAGTTCAGAGTGGAAGTTGAGGCTATTGGTCATGTGCGGCACAAGAACTTGGTGAAACTATTGGGCTATTGCATTGAAGGCACTCACAGGTAGCATATTGTTTTGTTCTGCATTTTATTTGGGTTAAACATCCAGAATTCCACTTATGTAGAGTGTTGATGCTTAGCTGCTTACAATTAAATAAAGAAGCTGTTAGGGGGCGTTTGGTTGAGGAGAAATTTTATGAATAATAGGAAAATGTGATATATAAGAAAATGGTTGGAAAGTGACATAGGTAGAAAAATATAAAAAAAAGTTGTTTGGTTGGAAAAAATTTTACTGGAGAAATTAGGTAACTTTTATGAAATATACGTTTAGTTGTAGGTAAAATATAGATGGAAAAATTAGGTAATTTTACGAAAATAACCCTGTTTGTAAATATTTTGTTTGGTGGCCTGCCACTTTACAATGCTGTCAAATACCCACTTAAGAGAGGGTATCCAAGTCTTTTGGTCAAAAGCATATCCCCAAAGTTTGGTTGCTTTTCACAAATACCACATGCTCAAAGGACAAATTTCGCCGGCTATATCCATGATAAAAGGTAGGCAACTTGGTTTGGTAGATAAGTTATTTAGGTGGGTAAGTGAAGAAGATGGCTCAACCAAACATAGTTACTACATATTCCCACTTCTCACTTACCGATCTATCTTAAAACTTTTCCCCAACCAAACACCCCTTCAGATGTGAGAATCAAAGAACTCTTCCTATTTCGGAGAATATAAGATAAATTTTCAAGATAAGAAAAAACAAAATCAGACAAATAAGTCTCCTAAACGTTAAAAAAAACTTGGTGTCTACAAACATTAAAAGAAACCATTAATGTTGGAATTTATTACATAAAACTTTACCACAATGGATGAGAACTATTTCTTCGGAACAATTGAAACCCTGTACTCAACTCTGGATTTTTCGCCCCCAATTTTAAGGGGAAACCAAAGTAACTCTAAGAAGTTAGGGCATGGCTTCAACATTCGTAATGCAATAAGTTAATTTAAAGAATCCATGACACTTATCTGACACCAAAAATCGCCAATGTATAGTGCTGAAGAGGGGGGAAACAATCAGCTTGTTCAGCATTATCTA